CGGAGGGGCTGGCAGTTAGGGGTGTCCCTGCTATGGGGACACGGAGGGGCTGGCATTATGGAGCCCGCAGCCGCTGAGGCCACAGCAGCGTCTAGCGGAGCAGCGAGCAGAAGCCCCTCCACCGCGGGTGTTCCGTAGCAGCCAGCGACGGGACGACCGTTCCCCTTTCAGAAAGAGCCTCCAGCGCCGCTTGGCAGCGCCGCCCTGCCCGCTCCSCTGCCCGCTCCCCTGCCCGCTCAGGGTTGTCTGAGATCAACCCTGGATGCACGCAGAGGAGAGCATCCAGCAGCAACGGGAACCTTTCCTGTACGTCACCTGCGTGGCTCCTGGGGACAGCAGCAAGGAGTCACCACGTTGTGCCCCGCTGCCTTAACCTGCTGCATCCGAGGTGCAGCACCTCAGTGCTCCTCATCCCTTGGCTCTCCTTGAAGCACGGACGTTTTAGCTGTAGTTGTTTGTTCAACGCCCTCCCTGCTCAGCTTTCCCTTTAGTGCAAAACCTCCCCCTTGTTCATACCACTTTGTTGGCTGCCCCTAGCCCAGCCGAGCACATGCCATCTATTCTGTCCTTTGCGGATGTCATTACCTTTAGATCTTTCAGGTGAGCTTGGTGCAAAGTTGTGTTCTCATTTTACATCATTTCCACTAGCGCTGGATTTTTTTCTGCTTTTATGTAAAGTTTTGCCATCTACTGCTGTAAAGCACCTGAATTAAGCTGCACGCAGAATGCAAAAGCAAACCTTACTTTTTACATGCATCTGGTGATGCTGCCAGGGCTACAGGGTGCCCAGATGTGGTTTTTATTTCCTTCAGAGCTTCTAGATATGTTCACACTAAATTCCAGCTTATATATACCCAAACTGGCTTCAAACCAGTTTGCTCAGGAGCTGTTAGTTGGGAAAAAGCAGCACTGCAAAGTTCACACCTGATTATTTGGCTTTTCAGAAGAATTTGTCACTACCTTTGAACTCTGCTGTGCTGTGGTGTATGACCAAGATCTCCCAGTGTCTCTGCAGTTACAGCCATGCTGAAATACTCCGGCACTTCCTCGCTCATGACACCAATTGATCCTTTATTTGCTATACAGAGAACTAGAAACGAATATGGAACTATATGAATATGTAATGCTTGTCATATTGCTGTAAGGACATTTAGTATTTTTTATGGATGCATTCATGATGGTGAAGTTAGCCTGAAAAAGGGCAACTCCTTACACATGCATTTTTGGTTTTATTTCCCAAATCCTGTGCTGATTTGAGGGGTGGCTGGTTTTATGGCCAGCCTTGGACACGTGTAGGGGGTTCTGCTCAGGGAGTCGACACAGCTTTTCCTGAACAGGAAGGTTTCCAGGGTCAGCCCATCAGGTGCTCTGGGTGTAGGAATGAGGAGAAATTTAGGCTGGCTGAGTATTTTGCAGAGCCCTCTTTTCCATCCTTCATGCCCCGAATACTACATTAAAGCATGACTGCTTTTCATGGTAATTATTCTATTGCTTATGACCAGTGACAAAAGTTTTCAAAGAAGAGGGTATTTCGCTTCGGGACCAGCCAAATGGCACAAGACAGGAGGCTTCTCTATGTGCTGCTGCGGAGATTAACTGCATTGAATCCCGGATACCGAATAAGTGAAACAGCTGCTGCACCTGGTTTCTTTACGAGTGAGCTGAGTTTAACTGCCAGTGAACACTTCATCCAGCACCAGTGAAACCCTTTGCTTACTGCAGACAGAGGTTTGACCCTCCCTATGCACAAACTAAGCATGGTTGAGTGCTCTGTGCTCTAACTTAAAGAAATGCAGATGTTTCCATGAAATRATTTTTTTCTTGTTTTCTCCTGCAAAGATGGGAGTAACACGTGTAGATCTCCCAAGCCCTTTTTCCTTTCTGGGGTGTCTGCAGGCAAGGCAGTAACTGCTCAAGAAACCCATTTCTTAGGCTGCCAGGGGCAGGTTGTTGCTCCCCAGGATGATGAGGCTTTGAGGATTTTTCTCTGAAGTAGTTTCCTCAGCTTGAAAATCACTTTTAGCCGATGTTTTCGCCTGTTAGTCTCACAGATGGCACCCCTCCAACGTGAATTAACAGGCAGTTTTTTAGGAGCCCAATGTCTGTAAAAGCTCTGCTTTTCTTCTTGAACATCTCTTTCTTCCAGGAGATGGAAGAGATTAGAAAAACAGGTGGAAGCAGTCGCGAAGCCCCGAGATGGTCCGTTTGCTCCGAGCTGTTTTGTACCTGAAATTTCTTCAGCGACTGCCAAAGCGAGTACATCTGAGCTGCCCGTAGGCTTTTCTTCTCAAGTTATTCTTAGGAGCTCAGTCTGCGTGTGACAGCTACCCTTTCAGTATGTTAAATGGGAGCTATTGAGGCAGGGAAGAGCCTAAGCTTGATGTCATTCTTACTAGAAAGTCTGCCACAAAGCAACAATGCATTCCAGGATTTCCAAACAAGCAGGATGCTGGTGGCTCCCTAAGCCAAAATTCAAAGCTGTTAAACAGGCCGTGACTTAAGCAGTACAGCTGGCAGGGGAAGGAGCACAAATTAATCCAACTACAGCCTGGGCTAATTAATAACTGTTTTATACAATGCATTAATGAACCCCCACCCTGTCAGCTCTCCCTGATGCCTTTCTATAGAGGACTGGATTAATGGAACATGGGAAAACTCTTCAGTCTCCAAAATAGCCTTTCTCTAATCAATTTAGGTTACTCAAAGTAGTTGTCACCTTAAAAAAAATATTATTTTAGCAAAATATGAAAGCAAGTCTATTGTAGAACAAATTTTTTAGATTATGATTTTCTGTAATGATTCCTTTAAAATCTTGAGGCAATGTGAAAATTCTGGGTATTTTATTGATATTGGAAATGGTCCCAAAGTATCCCAACTTGGTTTCTTTGATTTTCTTTTGATTCATATGATCTCTTAGGTTTTTAAGCTGTTGCTTCATTATCCCTTTAGATTCAAAATATCAATTGGGCTCATGTTCTAGTTTCACCTGTGAAGGGATATTAGAGTCGCAGTGTTGATTCAGTCTTGACTACTTTGCATTTGGGCTCTGGCTTAAACCAAAGGCTTTAAGGCTCTGACTGAATATCAATGTGTTTTTATAATCAAGATTAACATGGGAAACTGGGATCTCTTTCTCCCTTAAAATTCTCTGTCTGGCTGTAGCTAGAGCTACACGTATTTTAGGGCTGGAAAATCCATTTATAGTGTCTTTCCAGAGCACCTAGTTCATTAAACCTGTTCCATCTCTTAAAACAGCAACTTTTTGGTGCTGTGAGTACAATCAGTCGGGAGGTTTGGGTAGCCYTCTACCACTAGAGGGCATTGACCATCCTCATTAATTTCACTCTTTTCCACAAAATGTTGCAGGGATAAAATATTATTCCTTTAAATCTTTTATTTCTTGGTTTTTAAAACTCCCCATCTTTTATCACAGAAAGCTTTASTCAGATTGGCAGTTACGTTACATGTGCATCCTAACAAAAGCCAAGCTAGTTTTATATGTTGTGCCATGTGTTATTTGGAGCTGAAGAACAATTCAAACAAGCCATCACGAACATAGTCAACTTGCTCTTCTTGTTTCATGTCTCCTAGGTTTGGTTTGGGTGTTCCTGTTATCCTGAGAAACTCCGAAGAGACAGAGTCCAGCACCAGAGTGTTGAAAAAGCAGATGAGACAAGTGAAGAATCCTTTTGGGTTAGAAATTCCTCATCCTTCTGCAGCCTCAGTAACAAGTCAGTGCATTTCTGATATGCTTGATTTTTGTTAGTCTGAGCTTTCTCTTCCTTTCTTGTTCTAGGTCTTCTCTCTTCCTCTATCAGTAGTTCCTTAGAAACATCCTTCATCCATCATTACAACATAAATAACTATTTTTACTCAACTCACAGATGTGATGCCTAATGTGAAATATTTGCATATTTATGTACCATTTATTATTAATGAAATATACCATAATGGGTTTTTAATTAAAAGAACACTTGCTGATCACCAGCTATTGTGGATGTTCTATAAACTTCATATATTACAAAGTATATGCYATCCAGTTAAAAATGCAAGACCCAGATCTCCAGTTCACCACTTCAAGAAGAATAGATACCTCTCTGTTTCAGTGGAAACCTTGTTTTTGTGAATCTTTGGGGATCAGAGCTGAAGTAGTCGCTAGCACCCTTGAAACTACCCCCATAGAAAGTGAAATTCTTTGCCCTTCTGCATTGCTGAGTAGTAAGGAAGACTGAGCATCTTCCACCAACAGAGACGTGAAGCCTTCCTATGAATAAGACAAATGCTGGAGCAGTTAATGCATATTCTTCACATACATGCACACAAATCTTAATTTTCTGGTAACTTGAGTTTTTTCAAAAGGTTAAGTAATCCCTGACAGTTAGAGCACTTAAATTTGGTAAAGCTCTTCAAGAGTTTTGCCTCTCTTTGTGCAGCAAGTGTTTAGAAGTTAATGTGTGGGGTTCTCGAGATGTATTTCTCTCTTGGCTTCCTAGAATAGGAAGTAAAAAACTCTGGCAAACCTGCAGTGCATTGAAGCATCTAGCTGTAAGAGCTCAGTGTCTGGCATTTATTGCACTAAGGTGTGAGGAGAAATGGAGCATCTAGACCCTCTCCTTCCTTCTCCTGCTTAGGAGAGCTCCGTGCTCTCTGAAACAACAGAGGATCTCATAGGCCAGGGATCCAGCTGAGACTGTTATCTAAGGACGGAATAGCCTTTGGGCAGGGCATTTGCTCTGGTGTGAAATGGTTGGAGCAGTTAGAGCTTACCCCACCTCGAGCACATGTGCTGTGTGCTTAAATTAAATTTAACTGATCAGCCATCTTATGTCCTTGCACCTACATCCTCATCTTTGTTGACTTCCATAAGCCCTAAACCTAGCCTCAACTTTAAAAGATTAAATTAGAATAATGCAAATCCGTGACAATGAAGTTGTGTTTTGCCTGTTGCCTTTTTAAGAACCTACAATTAGCAATTCCAGAAATGTTACACCTTGATGATGTACCAAAGTTAATGAAGTCTTATCTTCTTTCTGCAAGAGGGTATAACTCTGACACCTGATTGTCTGGAAGACTGTATTCTTACATGCTACTGGGGCTGCAGTGTTCAAAAACTCCACGAAGCGTTGCAAAAACATGTCTACTGCTTCAGAATAAAGACTCCTCAGGCATTAGAGGATGCTCTCTACAGCGAATACCTCTATCGACAACAGTACTTGTATCCTTTTTAAATTTGTTTTGACAAAATATGCTAATTTATTGGCACAGGGAGTGCTGAGACTCATGAGCATTCAGCAGGTTTTGGCACAATATATTTATGAATGCATATGATTTGGGAAAATAGTCTTTGTGCAAACATCACTTTTGTTTTCAATTTCAGTGACACTGATTGTTTTCCTTGACACAAATAAAGCATAAAAAAGAAAGACAAGGAAGAAAAATATTGCCAGTTACCAGAAGATGCTCAAGTTGTCGATTTTGGCCCGGTGCCTAGATCTCGCTATCCATTGATAGCTTTGTTGACTTTAGCTGATGAAGAAGACAGAGAAATATATGATATTGTAAGTAATATAAGAATATAATACAGCTCTGCTTTATTAAGGTTCTGAATGCTTCAGGAGGCAAATCTAGTCCAGAATAAAAACTTACTTCCTTTCCTTTATCTTTAAAGATTAGTTGCAAGCTTTGCCTCTGATGACCCCATGTGGGGGAGCAAAAATAATTGTCATATAAAAATGTAGGTATGACGTTCAGGAGATGGTTGTGATTTTCACAGAGCTCGTACCTGCAAAGATCTTTTCTAAGATCATAGGAAGTGGGGTTGTGAAGGATTACTAAGCTACTACTCAATTGGGATCACATAAACCTTTGGTGGTGCTCTTGAGATGATACGGTGTTTTTGATGGCTGCTGGCAAAAAGAAAGGATTTTTTTTTTTATGTTTGCTCAGATACTTGTATTGATTTCTGGCTTAAACATGAGGAACATAGAAATTGCCTTTCTGCAAGAGGCAGGAGCCTGTGTGGTGCATTGTGTCTCTCAGTAGCAGCTCTGGGTCATTTACAGGAAGGTATGAACACCCTGCAGCAGAGAGACAGGAGATACTCAGCTGCTCGGGAAGATCTCCTAATCTCTTACAGGCTAAGCAGCTTCAGTATAATACCCCATCTAAGTTCTGGTTCTTTCTAGAAGTTTTCTTCTTCTTAAGCAATTTGGAACATATTTATCTTCCATCTTTTTTCCTATTACTTGGTTGATTAACTGATAGCTCTAATTGCATGAACACTAGTGCATACAAACTCAGAAGAGTCCCAGGTCCACCGCACCTTCTTCCATACATTCATTTGGAAACTGTCTGTGATCACAGCAGTGCATATGAGAACTCCTGTGTTCCCTTTCCAGCTGATGCCTCTCTGTAGCTTCTTGTTCCCTGACCCTAGCCTTGCCCCACTACCATCCCCTTCAAGATTCCTTTTCCTAGCTATTTTTCAGCACCTCCATATATATTTAGAGCTTGGCTTACCCTATTATAAAGAAACTGTAAAAYTGAGTTAGAATCTGCTCGATATTGGCATGGAGATGAATTTATAGCACTGCTTTTTCATCCCTTAACACAGAAGAAAGGGATGGAAGGAAAGTGAAGGAGAAGGAACATGRTTGGAATCTGTTAATATGGTCAAAGAAGTAACTGTACCTGGACTCCTTGYAGACCAGCTAATATTGAAACAAACTAGTGAAGTGCAAGCATGGTAGGGAAAGGGCACTACAGGTGGTCTTCCACAATCTCAATTCTGCGAGTTTGAAAGTGTCCTGAGTGTATTTCTGGCTATATCACACCTACTTGCTTTTATACAGGACTCTTCTCTAGCCCCAGGAAATCGGAATGAGTAAGCATAGAAGGCAGGTACAATGGGTAASCTTAGAAGGTAGGTACAGAATGGATTGGAAAACTGGAAGGGCCAAAGTGGAAGATTTAGGACTCCAACCTTGTATATGAAACAGAAGATTGGTAAATAGCTTGACTATGGCGTACAGGTATTTACATAGAGAGCAAAATAGCAAGTGCTCATGGAAAAGGGATTCTGTAATCAAATACAGCATAGCATTTCAGCTAGATTATAGTATGGGAGTATATATTTCTATATGATTCTCCTGCATTAAAAGGAGACAACAGCTTGAAGCGTGAAACACTTGCATTACTCCTACTCACAGTTCAAAAATTGGCCARATTCTGAGCAGATTAATAGCTGGACACTTAGAGCAGGTACTTGTGCTGTGGTAGGATGACCATGTACAAATACCCTGGTGCTCTGAGAGCAACATGCACAGCACTGGAACAGGCTGCTTGGAGGATGTGGAGTCTCCTTCCTTGGAGATGCTTGAATTTTAATGGAGAATTAATAACTTTGAGATGCTAAAACTAAATGAACAGATCTTTATGGAACTATATGATATGTTGTGATTTTAAAAAAGACCTTATTGCCAAAGAGTAGTAAATTAATTTGGTATAAATACATATGTATGTATATGTGCACATCTTTTAATTAGTCATATAGTGGCTTTCAAAGTGCAAATCTGATTGCAATGAGCAATGTTTTGCTCGTTTAAAAAATAAAAATAAAGCTGTCTTGCAGGTTTCACTTCTCTTATGGCAGCTTCTGGGAGCTACAATAATATTGAATTTCACTCTCTTCTTTTCTTCCATCTCAGGCTATTATGTGATTTGGGCAGGGAAAGGCCATTAAACACAGCATGCAAGCTTAGAGGGCTTTTATTCTCAGAAAAGTCAAGTGAAAAATTAGGTGAAGTGAAAAGTCAACCCATGGGGTCCTCTAATAATCCTTTTCAGTGAATTTTGTCTTGAGCTTACTCAGTTTGCAAGCCTATCAGTGACACTCCCAAATGCTTTTTGGAGTCTTAAAAAATATTGCCTGTGTGTTTGAGAGGGAAAGTGAAGGTGATTTTGCCTTTGATACATTCCCCTATAAATCTGCACTCAGAATTCAGTTGACAATGTTATTTCTTGTGTTGAAGGTAGCCTGCAACACTGCTGCAGAAGAGTTTTGCACTTGCTCTTGCTCAGGGCTAGGTTGCTGTAGGCAAATCCCTGGATTTAACCCACTTCTATCCAGGAAAAGCTCATCAGAAAGCCTCTGTGCTCAGAGGAGTGTTCCTCCTGCACGAAATTATGATGCAGGGAGCTTCTTTGAGGCACACACGTGGCTTATGGAAGTCCTACCTCAGCTGCCTAAGGGTGGAATTTCAGGAGGATCTTGTGCTTCCTTGTTTTTAGATGGGGCCTCTCTCTATCAGGTAAAAGCAGTCAGTGATTCTCCTGTAAACTCTCCAGAACTCTGTAGAAAACCAGTTCAGAAAGTGGAAACTCCACAAAGAACCATCTTGTGCCACATGCTGTTTTTATCTTATCCAGCATTTTTTTCTCCATCCTTAAAGTCAATATTGTTGCACCTTGATCGTCTATGGAATTAAGCAGGTCAGAAGTTAGAACAAMAAAAAAAAGCTTTCGTGCATACAAACCCCATGTTTTATACCAATAAAAATCATATATGTGAAAAAGAAGAAGGTTAAATAAAACTTTTTTTGTTGTTGGTAGATATCAATGGTGGCTGTAATTCATATTCCTGATGAGAGCTACAGACTTTCCTGCAGAATATTATATCAGTATCTACTTCTAGCCCAAGGTCAATACCATGATCTTAAGGTAAGCTGAACTGAGCATGAACTGAGTCTTGTTTAACTTAGTTGATGAGATTCTAAACATTTCTCTATTACCATGATAATGAAAATAACTTACAACATTGATCATGTAGAAATGAGGACAGATTAATTCTATTGACTTGATGAGTTTTCATTCTAATTCTTGGGATTCATCCCAAGAAGTGTTTGCCCTGACCAGGGCAAATGTTTGTTCCAGGTAGGCTCTTTCCCTTATGTTTTATTCTCACAAATTGTTGCCATTATAAAAATACTGCTGAAATCTTGGACAGAAACAACTGTGCAGTTTTGAAACGTAGTTGTGTTTTGCACATGCTTGGGCATTAGCTTGTTGGTTCTAGTAACAGATCATGGCCAGAAGATTTTGTGCTTCATGTAAAATGAGATAAAAATGGGGTTGTAGCATAAGGCAAAGCAGAACGGGTTGAATTAAGTAGATTTGAAGGTGTGGTGGGTACCTGTTTGGTGGAAGGGGATGGAAGCTTCCCTCCAGACACAGGGCTGGTATGCAGAAAGCTCAAAGCTCCAGCATTCAAAACCTGTGCCGTTCCCATTCGTGCATGTACATTGATTTGATTCACCTAAGATTTGACATCTTATCCTAAACATTTTCCCAGTRTTTTGTATCATTGAATGCAGCTGGATTATATGTTATTATATATCACTGAAGTCTGAGAAACTGCCTCACGGAAGAGTGAGTCTGTCACTGTTTCACCCAGGGGAACCTGATGGATCTGACCTGATGCAGCCTGCTTGGCATGCTCAGATATGAGGGGAAAGCATGTTGATTTCTACTGATATATATATATATATATTTTATATATATATATATAATTTTGTCTGTTTATATGTATTTTAGCAGCTCTTCATGTCTGCAAACAATACGGCACCATCTCTGACCGGTACTCCCCCTGACGAGGCAAGCACTGACAGAAGCTTGCTAGAAAAGGTCGGGCTGGCTGAAGATGAATCAGAATTGCACGAAGAAAATAGTAAAGACTGCGTTGTGTGCCAGAACGGCACGGTGAACTGGGTGCTCCTCCCCTGCAGGCACACGTGCTTGTGCGATGCCTGCGTGAAGTATTTCCAGCAGTGTCCAATGTGTAGGCAGTTTGTGCAAGAATCCTTCCCACTTTGCAGTAAAAAGGAGCAAGATGAAGATGAATCAACCCAGATCTTGCAAGATGTTCTCCCTGGAAGAGTGTTTTAATAGAGGGGAAAAAATAGAAGAATTGAGTTGTGTGCTACAAGATTAAATGTAAAAACCAGACTGTTTATAGGAGGATATGTAGCATTAGCTTCTAGGGTTTGCTTTTAAGTGTAAAGTAATTTTCAGCTTCTTTATTCATTTATTTTGCTCCATATGCACACGGGAACAGTACATTTATTTCTGCAGTGTGGACAGAAGAAGTGCGTAGGATACCTTGAAGGATGTGATTATTTTTACAGCTTCTTACTAGCTTTTCACAGAGTATTACTGGAGGCTATTTTGTTTACTAAATTTAGTTTATCTACTAAAACAGACTAAAATCTACAAGTGGCATTTAAGTGCACGCAGCTCTTTCTATATTTATTATATTTAAAATACCAGAGCAATTTATCATTTTAATTCATATGACTTAGAAACCTAGCACTTTACAGAACATGACAAATGAAGGACAGTAAATCTTCATTGTTAAATCCATGTATTTATTTTGTAGATGAAGGCTGGTCTGTGGCAGGAGTTGAAGGTCAGGACACTAAATGTTTCTGCTGCTCTGAAGGGGATGTGTGTGTTTCCGTGCATGAGGGTGAGAGAGATCTGAGCCGAAGCCCATTGGAATCAGTGGAGAGTTTCTTGTTGATTATTGCTGACTTGAACTGAACTTCACTGACAGTTTCAGMCCTGGGCCCTCCGGTCTTATTAGCAGTGGGCTATAAGAACTTGCCGTTTGTGTACATGTTAGCTAATTACTCTGTAGAGTGGTAATTTGGGCAGTATTGCTGAGTTATTGTTATATGAGTAGTCTGGTTTTGCAAATTTCCAACTTTTATATTTGCAGTGTCAGACTGGATGAGAATAAGTTAACTATTTGCTTTTTTGTCCTTATCTGTATTTCCATGAAACTTATTCTTACAAAGAAAGATGCTAAAGAACAGAAGAAAATGTTTGTGTCCAATGCTGTATTGTCAAAAGTAATAAAAATGGCTTGTCGAGAAGAGAAATTGTTGGTTTGCTTCTTACTTGAGGAGAATTTCTCTCTTTTAAGACAGACCAAGGTTTCACACCAAAACACAAGCACTCGTTRGAACCCGCAGGTATGGGGAGTAGTTGCTCTCTATTCTTCTCTTGTTCCCTTGTAGCTTTGCTCCACATCCAGCCCGGCAGAGCTGCTTGGTGTCAGGGAAGGATGCCGAGCTCCAGGCTGCTCTTCAACTTCTGTGTGTACCTCCAAAGTAAGGAAGGAAGCTTCCCCCCGCACAAAGGTATTTTATTTTCATCTCTCTCTTCCTATCTTTATTTTGCTTTGGTCCTGCTTCCAAAGGCCTGGTAGTCACTTCTGAATAAGAGATTTAGGTAGGTAACGAATACATGCACAGAGTAATGTTTAGTTGTAGAGACAGGGAGAGCTTGGGAATTGATGTATGTGGCCACAGATTTCCATCTGGGATCCACAGGCTATTTGCAAGACGATTCCTCTAGTTTATGTGGGGCCATCTTCCTCTCAAGGGACACCTCGGGAATAAACTGCTGGCCAAATGAGCTCTTCATTTGCACTGTGTGTCAGTCCCTAATTAAATACGTAAGGGTGAGGATTGGTGGTTGCAGAGAACAACTGCAACTGATATAGAAATCATCATGGCAAAGAATGGTGGATATGCAGCCCCTCAGGAGATGGAGAAGAGCGAGAGGCAATTCCAGAAGACTGTAATAACTGAGAGGACACGTGCGGGAGCACTGACCACGTGAGGACTGCAACGCAGGTAAGAGCACAATGATGACGGGGAGCAACAACAGCGTGATGCAACTCAGGCAGGCCCAGAGCTGCCTGTATTTAGAGTGTAGGGACTCCTGAGTGTGCAAAACTTGAGTATGAAAGAACAAATGACATCGTTCTTCAAAATAAAAATCTCCTTGGTTTCCATCTGGCCTTGCGGTGAGTTTTGCTACCTTAGTTGCTAAGTATCATCAAAGACTTGGCCATCACTTAGCATCCATCCGTGGTGGATTTGCCTTGCCATTTGCTGATCCTTCTGCTCTAATCCATCTTTGCCAGAGTAGCTGCTCAGGGCAGGCCAGCACTGATGGAGGTAGTTGCTGACTTTAGCCTCTCTGTGTCGCTAACTCTGTTTTTCCACTAAATGGGGGCAGTTGATGTCAGGATGGTGGAATTAACTGTTCTTAAGACTTCCTTTCATGTCCACATGTAGTTGTTGTGAAATGGAAGGCTGATTTAAATGATGTAATTCCTCCATGGGCTCCCAAGAAAATTAAGGTACTGCTACTTTCYGGATATGGGATAGCAACCACACAAATCATTACTGTTGCTTTTGTTGCTGCTACCCTGGTTCTCATCTGGGCTCGAGCACTGCTCCATAGCTAACATACTTATTTTGGCCRTATAAATGATCAGAGAAAGAGGTGTCACTTACTGCGTGACCACAGGAGTCGCCAGCAGCACCAATTCATCAGAACTTCCCATCCGCTCAGCACGGTCCAAGCCTGTGGGCTTCTTTGCAAGGTAAATGGTGTTTGAGCAACTCTGGAGAACTGTCTGGTCTGTCTTACCTTTAACCAATCCATCCCAGTATTAAATAATAATATTTTATTATTATTTAATAAAGTACTGTTAAATAATTTATTATTAAATTTAAATTATTAGTAGTATGTAGCTGTGCTGACTTCCTGAGCCATCTATTTACTGTTAAAGCTACTGTTAAGCTTTTCTTTTGTTTCATGTTCTTCTCTCAATAGTATTTTCCAGAGAGGCTGGCAGTTTTATCAGACSTAACAAACTTCTTTTCTGGCCAAAGATCTGACTGAGAGTTATAAAGAGCAAAGCAGCTGGCTTATTACATCTGCCCATTTTAACAGAAGCCTTCCCAAAGTAAAGACCAGGTGAGGAGTAAAAGGAGCTCATCTAAACCTACCTTGGGTGTCCCTTGGTTCCCTTAAAATAGGAATTCAAGGCACTAACAGAGAAATAAAACCTTCCCTGTGATGCACAGAAACCCACTATATTAATAGTGGCTGTGCTGCTCTGTCACCCTGTTGTTATAGAGGCAATCTAATTTTCCTCATTTACTTGTGACAGATGATGTTTATGGAGCTGGTGATGTCAAGGAACATACGCAGACTTCTGGCAACGAGGCTAGTTCATTTTCAAACTTGTCTCTCCCCTGCAATGAAAATTATTACAAGAGGTAACGCTCACCCCTTGGTGTAATTTCTTAGCTCTGCTCAGTCTAGACTTTGAAAGGAATTGACCAAAATACGGGGTATTATCAATAGAGATGCCTTGGTGCCTTTCTGTATAGCAAGGTGTGGACCCTGATGTGAGTATGTTTCTTCTGTAGACAAAGTTCTTCTATTAGGATCTTCATCCCAGTGTAAGTAGAAGAGGAGGAGGAGGAAGACAATTATGGTCGACCCATCTTGAAATGGGTCCCTCCCTTCCTACAGGGAATTCAGAATTCCCGTAAGGAATAACTGCCAATAGTCAGTTATAAGAATGTTAGCCCTGACCCCGACTCTTCAGGGGCTAAAATGGCATTGCCTTCTACTGCAAACCCTATAAAGCCAAATAAACCCTTCAGCAATAGTGCCTGGCGGGTTCCTGCTCTAAAGTGGACTACCAAAAAACCCCACCAGCGCTCTGGTCTTTTACACATCGTGCTTCAGTTTCACGCAATGAAAAGCACTTGGCCTTGTCTGCTCTTCTCGGAGCAGCCAYGCCAGCCTCTCTGTGCTCTTTTCTGAGCACGTGGCATTGCCACCAAGGTGTCACCCTGCAAGGGCTGCTGATGCTGCAGTGCTCTAAGTGGTGAAACCACGGACCCGGCAGACCTGCGGCTCCTTGGCCGATAAAGTGCTCGGAGGTATTGAAGTTTGCTCTCCAGATCCTGGAAGTCCTTAATCTGCACAGATTTCCCCAGAGGGAACAAGTCTGGMCTGCAAGCTCAGGATATTTAGGCTGCTGGAAGCTTGGGGTGGGATGTCGCTGGCATCGAGGCTGCGGATAAGTGCTGGAATGGGAGAGCCTCAAGGGTGCCAGAAGCTGCATTTCTTCCAGTTGCCAAGGTTAGCAGAGCCCTTCCCACAGCGACACGTTTCCTTGATCAAAGCAAGCGCAAGGCAGCGATTTATCGTGTAAAACAGCTAGAAAAGCCAAGCTCTGCACCAGACACTGCCATCCTCACTGAGATGGACAACCCAGATGCTGCTGCCTTTTGAATGCTGCCTTCCTCCTAGGTGGCCAGTGCTTGAGCCCGGCCGTAGCCTCATCCTAATCCTCCTCCTCAGGGACAACTTGCTCCAAGGCCAGATTTAAAACCCATGAGAAGTTGCTGCCCTTGCATTTTGCTGTAGGACCAAAGAAGGGTATGTGCCAAGAGCTGGTGGATTCCAGTTTAAGAACACCTATAGCTTTTCCAGGCTTTAAGTATCTTACCAGAGACATGAAAATGCATGAATGCGTCTGCCAGCTGCAACCTTCCCTTTTAGCCCCAACTTCTTAACAAACTCAAAAGAACCTCCATTGAGTCCATCAATCAATAACAAACCATTTTGTCCTGCAAAAGTGATGTGATAATATACAGCCTCCTGTCCCTGCTTGGGTGGGATTTATCCACTCGTGCCATGGTGCTCTAGGGCCGAGCGGGTCTAGCTGTTGGACCTCCTTGCTGCAGGTCTGACCAGGCAACGGCAAAAGAGCGAATAATGGGAATAAACCATGATGGAGGAATGAAGGAAACTGGTTGGTTCCAGCACAGTCAGTGGTGGACGCAACTCCAAACACAAATCTCCTGATTTACCATCAAGAATCTTCTTTCTGCAAATTAACTCCGGAAAGCGCAAGCCTAGCACTAATGTGGAACTTTTACAGCCTTCTGTGCATCTCAAACCTGATGCAAGATGCTCCTTCACAGCGGGGTTTGGAGAGGGACATTGGGGAGGCTACTGGTGTCAGTGTGACCTAAGGAGCTGGTGCACGTCTAGGTGTTCTTGGCAGGTTGGAGCTGCTGGGAACCGTGCTCCATGATGAGCTCCCACAGCCTGGGACTCAACCTGGAGTCCATGTTGGATCCATTGGACTCTTGGATGCAGGATCTGTTGGACTCTTGGATCTTGGACACAACTGGACTCTTGGATTTGCGATATATGGGAGGTGGGATTTGCTAGAGGTGGAGATGGGACCTCTCAAAGGTGGCATCTGTTGGAAGAGAAATCCATCAGAGGTGGAATTTGCCAGAGGTGGGATTCACTAGAGGTAGGACTTGGTGGAGGTGGGATTCCTTTCAGAGTGTAGGCTATTGGAGGTGGGATTTGTTGGGGGGCTTCATTGGAGGTAGGGTGAGCCAAAGGTGGGATTTCCTAGAGGTGAGATGCCCTGGGGATCGCATTTCCTGCAGGTGCGACTCATTGAAGGTAAGATTCTCTGGAGACGGGATTTCTTGAAGAGAGGAGTTCTCAGAGCTGGGATCTGATGGAAGTGGAATCCAATGGGGGTGGACTCGCTGGAGTTGGCATTTCCTGGGGTAGGACCCATGGCAGGTGGGATGCACCGGGGGCAGGATTTCCTGGCGGTGGGACTTGCTGGAGGTGAGATCTGCGGGAGACGGGGCTCCTTGGCGGCAGGAGCTCCCGGCGGCGGGATGCAGCGGGGCCGGGATGCAGCGGGGCCGGGATGAGTGGCGGGGACGTCCCGGAGCGGCGGCAGCGGCGGCCGCCAGGGGGCGGCGGGCGCCAGCGCGAGCGGCGGCTCGGCGGGCAGCGCCGGGGCCGGCCGGGGCGGCCGCGGGCCGCGCGGCTGGAGACGCTAGTTAAGTTAACGCTCAGTTAGTTGGTTAATGCTGCCCCCCGTTTCCCGCCACCGCT